CTGCTCTGGTTCAGAGATGGTCTCTGGACACGGTCCTGTGTGGCCCACGCAGACAGGGAGGCTGAGCCCTGCCTCTGCCTGGCTCCGGCACGAATGCTGACCCTCAGCTGCTCAGATACGACTCCTCCAGGAAGCCCTCCTTGGCCTCCCCAACCTTGAGGAGGCTGTGTCCGCGTGGTGCTCCAATGGACGGGTCTCAGCATCTTCTTCTGAACTCTCGGAATTGTCCAGAAGCTGCCAGGGCCAGACTCAGAGCACAGCGGCTCGGTGTCTCAGAGGGAGGGCTGAGCACCCTGCACAGCGACTCCATCGGAGCCTCCACATCTCGCCTCTAACGTGCAGGATGAGCCGTCGCCCGCCCGGGGGACGGGGCTCCGGAGAGAGCGGCTGCGCGGGGCCTGCTCGCCGCCGGGCCGTAGTTTTGTTTCTTCAGGAACAAGTGTTACTCAGACGCTACACGAAAATGGTTAACTAACCAACAAAAACCGTCTTTTTTCATGTAAAAGTGATGCCCGTGCATCAAGGGGCATCGAGGAAACGCTGCTGCTGGGGACCCTGCCGGCCCCGCTCCGCCACGCGCCGAAGGCACTGCACCCCAGTCCGGGCCCTGTCCCTGCCCCCTGCCCCGGGCGCTCGAATCTGTTCTAAAGGAAGGAAAACGGAGCTGTATCCTGACGGCTTTCCTTCACTAGGACACGGTACGAGCGTCCTCAGGCGCGTGTGCACAGGGGGTCCCCTTGGGCTCTCTCGACCCCAGGGGTGAGGAATGGGCAACGGGCACCAGGTGGGGCCTGGGCACCCGGGAGCTTCCTCTGCCCAAAACTTCTGCACGGATTTGACTTCCACAGACTCAGCGGGACCGGCCGAGTTCAGGGACGAGGGCGCATCGTGCAGACCGGCGGCTCTGAGCCAGGGCCAGTTCTGTGCCCAGGGGCCACCTGGAGACGTGCGTGGTCATCACTGGGCCCCCCAGGGTGGGGGTGCTACGGGCATCTACTGGGCCATTTGCAATGCACAGGACAGACCCCCAGCAAAGAAGGATGCGCCCCACGTGTTGACAGAGAGGAAGTGGAGGAGCGCTGGGGACGCACTGGCAGGTCGGCGAGACGTCGGCTGGGACAAGCAGGGGTGCCCGCTTCCGATGGCCCAGCTCCTCTCCCACAGGTCACAGTGGCACCCAACGCCCAAGGGTGACTCTGAGGGGGTCCCGTGAGGTGCCTGCCTGAAGCTCCCAGGACCCAGCCAGACAAGGGTGTTCTCACACTTCCGCTTATTCAATATGGAGATCGTGAAAGACATTTTAAAAATACATGTAGCACGTGGACATGATTAATCGTCACTCTCTGGCCCCGGCCGGCGTGGCTCAGTGGGTGAGTGCTGTCCCATGCACCAAAGGTCACGGTTCGATTCCCGTCAGGGCACAGGCCCGGGTTGTGGGCTGGATCCCGTGGGGGGCGTGCAGGAGGCAGCCGATCCATGATTCTCCCCTCCTCTCTCTCTCTCTCTCTCTCTCTCTCTCTCTCTCTCTCTCTCTCTCTCTCCCTTCCTCTCTGAAATCAGTAAAAATACGTTTAAAAGAACAATCTCCATTCCTTGGAGAGCCGGCCGCTTACCAGGTTCTCTATGGAGCTCTGGAACTCGCTGATTTTCTTCAGCGTCTCTTTGTCCCGCTTCACTTCATTTATGTACATGGCCAAGTCCTGGGAAACAGCAGTGTGGGCGGGGTTAGCAGGCCAGGCCGGCGGGGCCAGGGGGCTCAGCCCCACCCCATCCCGCACCGCCCAGGGCCGGGGGCTCAGCCCCACCCCATCCCGCACTGCCCAGAGCTGGGGGGCTCAGCCCCACCCCATCCCGCATCGCCCAGGGCCAGGGGGCTCAGCCCCACCCCATCCCGCACCGCCCAGGGCCAGGGGGCTCAGCCCCACCCCATCCCGCACCACCCAGGGCCAGGGGGCTCAGCCCCACCCCATCCCGCACCGCCCAGGGCCAGGGGGCTCAGCCCCACCCCATCCCGCACCGCCCAGGGCCGGGCACTTTCAAAGCATCTGCAGCCGGGCCAGCGGGGCTCAGTGGTTGAGCGTTGACCTGTGAGCCAGGAGGTCACGTTTCAAGTCCCAGTCGGGGCACAGGCCCGGGTTACGGGCTCCATCCCCAGTGAGGGGCGTGCAGGAGGCAGCCCATCAATGACTCTCTCTCATCATTGATGTTTCTGTCTCTCTCCCTCTCCCTTCCTCTCTGACATCAATTTAAAAAATATGTTTTTTAAAAAGCACCTTCCACCATGTGCCCGAAGTGGCTGGCTCTCAAGGCAGCAAGATAGTGAGAAGGGCCAACCCCACTTGACAAATAAAGAAACTCAGGAAGACAAGGTAAAACCAACCCCAAACCACACTCCAATCAGTGGGCCAAGAACCCCAAGCCCCTGCCTCCTGAGCCCCCAGGTGAGAGTAGATAATCACCAGCCAACTAGATTCGGATCAGCCCTGTCTGAGCCCTGGGGAGTGGCCACCCCAAAGGCCACCGCCTCCGGACCCTCGGCTGCACCAGGGCGAACCCCACCAGCTGTCCATGCCATGCAGCCTCCTGCTGGCCACCAGGGGGCAGTGCCCACTGCAATCCAGAGAGCAGAGCAACTGGGCAGGGCACCCAACGCTGCGGAGAGCCAGGGGACCCGGCCCACCCCGGAGAACCAGGAGGGTGGCACAGACCCTGCCCAGCAGGAGCGCAGGCTGCCGTGGGTGGAGCCGCAAGCCAGGCCACGATGGGGCTGGTCCGGCCTCCCCACAGAGCTCCTGCCCGGCCCGCGAGGAGCCCAGCGGCAGGGCAGAACCAGACCCGAGGCAGAAAGGCCACAAGACGGCCGGGCAGCTGTGTGACCACTGCAGCCGCGTGGCACAGGCCACAGGCCCACACGGGCGTGGAGTGAAGTCCCCCAGGAGCACAGGGCTGCTCAGAGGCGCTCTCCGCGCGGAGCATGCGCAATGGGGAACGGAATCCAGGGGCCACCCTCCTGGGAAACGTCCCCCCTGCCAAGACGGGGGACACGGGGGGCGGGGGGGGGCGGCTGCCAGCACTCAGAGCGGGGAAAGGATGGAGGGTGTTCAGGGCCTGGCGTGGCCAAGCTGCCTGGGACTCGGGCCCGTGGCAAGCACCGCAGAGCACCCAGGCCCCGGAGGCCCTGCACGCTGAGCCCGTGCCCGACGGGGCAGTGGGGCCACAGGAGGTCTCGGGGCAGCGGGGAGGTGTAGCTGCCAGTGGGTTGGCACAGGCCCGGGAGGCGGGGGAGGTGGTGTGGCTCGGGGTGGGGGAGGCGGGCATATCAGAAGCGGAAGTCCCAGGGCTGGGCAGCAGGCAGCACAGGCCAGATGCCCAGAACTGAGTCCAGGGCCTGGGAACCTGAGGCCCAAGCGGACGGCGGGAAAGCCTGCAGCGCCCCCGGCCCCGACCCTCTGCCCGCCGGTGGGTCTCCCCCACCACCCCGTGCCCTGCTCCCCAGGAAACGCTACATCTAGGGTCACAGGCTTGTTCGCTAAGCACCAGGCCTGCCCGGCCTCTCCCTGCCTCAGTTTACCCACCCACCTGCATGGCTTCCAGTGCTTCCTTCAGCTGCTGCTCTCGGGCCGGTCGGTGGAATGGCTCAGAAGTTCCTGAGGGGGTGAGAAGGGAGCCATGCGTGACCCCTCAGGGGGTCCTGGCCTCTGCCCTCGCCCCCACCGGGCACAGCGTGCGGGCACAGAGTGAGGCCTCCTGAGACAGACGGGCTCAGCCGCCCCCTCCAGCAGAGAGCGGGCCCCCACCCAGGCCACACGCTGCTTCAGGGAGGGTGTCCCCAAGTCCTGTGGGTAACAGGAGCCGCTAGCAGCACAAAGGTGGGTGCTGAGCCCCCAGGGAACAGGCTGGTTCACGGAAGATCCTCCCTCAGCCCCTCCAGAACCAGCGTCGCCCCCGGTCCGCCTGCCCAGGGCTCCCTATTCCCATTCCCCGGGGCTGCCGGGAGCTCAGGGCGGCTAAGGCGCAGCCACGGGCACGCTCACTCCTGGCCGGGGGAGGCGTCCCGTCTCTCCCACTTTCTCTGCTCGCTTGCCCACTTCATCCTAGTTCTCCTTCGTACACTGACTGGGCAAACGGCACAGAGAGCAGCTCCCAGTGCCCCTGGCGCTCTGTGCGCTAGCACGGTGTCGAATGTGTCTGCTGGCTCTAGCCTCCCCGTGGCTCCGCCCGGCCGGGCACGGAGGCTGAGGGCTCACCTTCAGGAGGAGGTGGTACTTGAGCACCCGCTGCATGGGCACCACCAGCAGGTCCTGCAGCTTGAACTTCCCGTCCTGGACCTTCAGCGTGCATTCCTGGGCGTCGGGGCAGCAAGGCGATGAGGGGCGTCCTTGCCCGGGGACGCTGGACCCCGACGCTCCCACACCCCGGCCGGGGGCAGACCTGAGGCCGGAACTGGGGCCCGGGTGTCCCGTCCTTGTCTGGCCTGGCTCCCAGAACCCCCTCCCCCATCGCCAGGTGCGGGGCTGCCGCCTCTCACAGCCTCGGGTCCGCAGTGGCCACACGAGGACTGCACTTCGGGGGCTGGCGCCCACTGGGCCTGCCTCAACACCCTCGGGGAGCCGGCTCTCATTAGGGGGACCACCTGCGGAACCAGGGGCTCCCCCTCATTGTCTGGGCACTGGGCATCCCCGCACTGCTGAGCAAAGGGGCCCAGCACTGGGACCCACTCCAGAAACAGGATCCGACGGGAACCCAGCCGGGGAGCAGCCTGGCACCCCGAGGAGGGGAACGAGGACAGGGTCCTGAGTGGGGCTCATGTGGGAAACCCCACAGGAGACCGGCCCTGAGCCCGGGCGAGATGGGAGTGGGGGAGGCTCCACAGCTCCCAGCAAACATCCGTCACTGGGGTCCCCTTGGGGTCCACGTCGGCCAGGGTGAGGGTTCGGTCACAGCCCCGCACTGAGCCAGATCCGGTCCTTGGGGCCTACCTCACCTGCACCCAGGGGCTCAGGCCGTCTTTTGGCCAGGACAGTGCCCTCCACCTGCTCACTGCCCACCCACAGAGGAAAAACCACCTGCTAAAATCCACACAAAAAAGTCCTATCAGCCAGGCCGGTGTGGCTCAGTGGTTGAGCGTCGACCTATGAACCAGAGGTCCCGGTTCGATTCCTGGTCAGGGCACAGGCCCAGGTTGCGGGCTCGACCCCCAGTGGGGGCGTGCAGGAGGCAGCCGATCCATGATTCTCTCTCATCATTGATGTTTCTCTCTCTCCCTCTCCCTTCCTCTCTTAAATCAATAAAAATTTTAAAAAGAAAAAGGTATATCACTACCCCATCCCCACCTTCCCACAACGGGGTGAGCAGGAGGCCATGGAGCTGCAGCCTCAGGGGGATGAGCCAGGGGCCGGGCCGGGAGCCACTGTTACCTCCACTTTCAGCCTGAAGTCCTCCCGGCTGGCGAGGAGCTGGTTCAGCGTGTTCTGAGCGTGCTCCATGTGGCTGCAGTACTCCCCGTAGATCAGGAGCCTGGGCATGCACATGCGGACATGTAGAGTCACATGTGTGCACACACGTGCGCACACATGCACACGCACACATGCACAGATGCACACACGCCACCTGCCGCGGGTGGCACACAGCCAGGGGACCCGCCGGTGAAGCCGCTGGTCAGCTCTACACTGTCCCGCCCGGACCCAGAGAGGCGCCCAGGCGTCCCCGAGGCCCCGCAGCCGGGAGGGGCCGCCACCCACCTCTCCTTGAATTCCAGGAAGACCTTGGCCAGCGTGCCGCCGCCCGCCATCATGGCCACGTCGATAGCCCGCAGGAAGCTGTGGTGCACCCTGATCAGGTCCTGGAGGGAAAGCCAGAGGGGCCACGGGTCCCTGTTCGCTCCCGGACGGAGAGGCCCGGGCGTGGGGGTGCGTCCCAAGAAGTGTGGGTGTAACCCAGTCAGGAGGGCCATGGGGCTGGCCGCCCGAGGAGGCCTGAGCACACCAAGTCCCCAAAACCAAGTCCCTCCTCTCATCTGCCAGCCACAAAACACCCCTTAGCCAGGACCCACCGAGCCCTAGGCAGGGACGCAGCGCAGCCCGGGACCCGGGACAGAGCCCGCAGGTGGGCATAGCTGGGACCCGGGACAGAGCCGGCAGGGGGGGGCGCAGCCCGGGACCCGGGACAGAGCCCGCAGGGGGGGCATAGCTGGAACCTGGGACAGAGCTCGCAGGGGGCACAGCCCGGGGACCCAGAACAGAGCCTGCAGGGGTTGCAGGCCGGGACCCGGGACAGAGCCCGCAGGTGGGCATAGCTGGGACCTGGGACAGAGCCCACAGGTGGGCATAGCTGGGACCTGGGACAGAGCCCACAGGTGGGCATAGCTGGGACCTGGGACAGAGCCTGCAGGGGGTTACAGCCTCCTTACCGCACAGAGCCCGCAGGCGGCACACAGGGCCTCACCTCCAGGTT